GGGAGGGGCTGGGGAGTGTGATCAGGCAATTACAAAATGGGTTAATTACAAATTTACTCCCTTCAAGTTTAAGTTATGTAGCATTCAACTGACTCTAGTTTCAATTTAAACAATTTGCCCATTAAAATTTAAAATAGAAAATATGTTTGATAACCATTTTATTTTATGTCATATATTTTACATTTATTTTAAATCTTGATAAACCTTATCCACATGGTTATATGCCAATACATTAAAAAAAAAAAAGGGAGAGAAATTTTGTAGAATGAAACAATGAATTACAAGAAGTAAATAATTACAAGAATTCTAACAATTCAAAAAATACACTTTGAGGCTTTAATCCTTCAAAAAGCCCAAAAACCACCTTGAATACCACCATGGCGGCAACCTCACTTCCAAAACCCAAATTATTACATGCCACCATAGCGCACACAGCAACACAGCAGCTCAAAGCCATCAGAACAACTAAACAGAATATTAGCACCGCGGCCTAACTACATCCAAGTATTCCATCTGCAGCCAAACACTGAATCAACACAGCAAGAACTAAGCCCGGCACCTTCCAGCTTCCCACATCTCAACCATGGTCATCAAAAACCAACACATTCTTAGTTCGCGGCACGGACAAACCCCTCTGATCTTGCACTATCCCATGAAGGACAGCAGTAGGTAACTGACTTACAGAAAAATCAGAAGAGCAGCCACTATGCACTGCCTGATTAGCTAAGGCATCGGCAATGACATTAGCTTCCCTATAAACATGCCCCTGTTGGAATTTAACAACAGTTTAAATTCACTAACAAATACATACAATCGAAGAACAAATCAAGAATATAAAACAATAAAAAACAAAAAAGGATAAGACACAGATTTTAAGTGGTTCGATAATTTGCCTACGTCCACGAAGCTGCAGTGATTTCACTATTGAGAAAGTTGAATACAGAGAGTGGCTGTACAATCCACCATATTAACCCTAATCACCAAAACAACGGGTTTTATATGTCCTACGCACTGGGCTATATAATGGGCCCAAGCCTTCGCTCCATGGACTAAACCTCAGAAAATTTTCCATTAAAAAATCACACAACATTATTTCGGGTCGGGTCATCATCCAAATCACATATACAAACTAAACTTCACAAAAAATCAACAATTCTCCCACTTGGAGACTAGTTCAAACACCAACATCAAACTGCAATCCTTCCAAAAAAAATCTCTCATCCCCCTACAGCTCTTCCTCCTGTCCTCAAGCTGAGAGACCTACAGAAGCGGAACAAGATTTCAGCTTCTCTACAGTAACCACTTTCGTAAACATATCTGCCGGATTATCCCTTGAGTGAATCTTTTCCAAAGTGAACTCCCCATCCTCCAACAAAGAGCGAATAAAGTGATATTTTATGTCGATATGCTTGGTTTTCGAATGAAAAGCTGCATTCTTTGCCAGATGTATAGTACTCTGACTATCGCTGAACAATTTAGAATTGTTTTGCTCCTTACCCAACTCTTTCATGAAACTCCTGAGCCATACCATCTCCTTGCATGCCTCCGTGGCTGCAACATACTTCACATCTGTTGTTGAAATAGTCACTATTTTCTGTAACATCGAGAC